ACATACCTATGGGCATGACGTTATCTGCGGGCATTAATTTCAATTTTTTTTCTTTTCAATCCATGTGGTCGGAAAAATAAAACTATTCATTTAGTTTAGCATGGGAACAAAGTCAATAAAATCTGTAACCTTCCCATCAATAGTTTAATATCTTCCAGAAATCCGTACATGGCGTATCCCAAAACGAATAGTAGTTCGATTTTTTCTGCATAAATTAACACTTTTGAACAATTATAGGTGTTCCTAGAGGTTAGCTCAACAGTTGAGCCCAGTTTAGCAAATAAAACTCTGAAGCATTCATTTTTACACTCTGGTAAGGAAAATCTTCTTGAAAATTGTTGAATCTTACAATTTCAATTCTCATTCGTTATCAGCAATGAGTTTAGACTCCAGTCTAGTAAATACATCTCGGAACAGATCAAAATCAAAGAAATGAAACCCAGAATTTCTCAGTCAGCCTCCCCTTGCAAATTTCAGGATTTTCCTCCCCAGTATAGGCAGGGAAGACTTGAACTGAGCCACTGAGCCCAAAAAACTAGGATTTCGAACTAGGAAATCCCAGATTCTTCGTATTTGTCTCTAAAATCTTTCCACCTTTAAACAGTAAAGCAGTTTGATACTTTTTGCCTTTTTAATACCAGAAAAAGCTCTCAAGACTCTCAAGACCTAACCTACAAAAGAATGAATGCATGAAAATATTTCCCGTTTCACAGCGCCTTCTCTGTACCGAAGAGAAGAACGCATCTTTTGCGGAAGACTGTGGGAAAACATTTTTAGATTGTTCTTTTTGTAACATATTTTCTACTTTTGGCTAAATAAAGCACAGTACCCCCTAATAATTTTTTGTGGGCGGAGCCTGAACGCAGGTAAGCAAGAAGCACTGGAGCTCCTACAATGAATCCATTCGTGTTAACCAGCGCCACCCGAACTGGTCACTTTAGTTTTTTTTTTCGCTCCACTCTCTGCTCTAAGGGATCGACTTAGCCCTCTCATGTGAAGGATCTTTCCCACATCGCAAGGATCAGTGAGCCTTTAATCTTGGTCAATTCCCACGACAACTATAAGTTTTTCATGAACTTTCTAGTTTAATTTCTTATTTTCTTTCATATAATCGAAATCTAAACAAAAACTCAGTTTTTTCAAGAAAACTAATCAACTAATTAACAATAAACATATTTACAATAGGGTCACCTCAACGATCCCTTGACGATCGATAGATATGCCACGTCTTCCTACTTTCTTCCTATTCCACACGTCTTCCTACTCCACAAGCAATTAGCCTGCCAATACTATTCTGTTGACCCTATCCGTAAATTCCTATCCTATCCTCCTTTCAACTCCAATCGTATTGCTCTTCCGGCTATAAGGAGGTTGGTTTATTTGTTACTTTTACCTTTTCTCTTCTGAATTTCTTTTGGAGTGGTAATATGCTCTCACATGTCACACCTAAAAAGCAATCGTGAAACGATGTCGAGCAGCGATGAGTTTTCACCGCTCGTGGATTGGAGGAGTACTCTTCTGGCTCGGGTGTTGACAAGGTACCGGAGGAAAGGAAAAAATCAATCAATCGATCTGTGCTCTTTTTAGGGGAATTGCTCTTACTGCTTTAATCAAAGGATTTGGACATATAATGTCCATAGGCGTGCAACAGCAGTAAATGAAGAGTGCTTAAAGTTGGTGAAGAAAGATCGAGAGCTAACTCTCTCAAGAAAACAGGAAGAAAAAGGAAATTGGAGAGCTGGCTTTGGAACGCCAGCATCTACAACGTCAACTGGAGAGAAGAATTTCGGTACGATTAATAGTCATTGGCCCTTCATCCTAAATATTCTTCCGCCTAATAAAGTGAATGTTTTTCAGAAACATTTGCGGCTTACTGAGCAGACCGCTCACTTCGGTACGGGGTCATGCCGTGGACAACGACCTCGACACCCGTCTGCTGAATCCTCCCGTTGATTCCAGTACTGAACTAAAACATTGTTATGGCATATGTGGTGGACGACAGGCGGTAGTGGGAGCCTTAATACCTTTCGGATGTTATCTGACATTTTTAAAGTTCCCATAATACTTTTTCTGCAGAGGTATGTCTGGGTGTTTTTTAGAGAAATGAATCGATTAGCGAGCATGCAGTTCCAAAAGGAAATGATGAGTGTGTTGGCCGTAAGTGAGACACAATAGAGTATTCTGTGGTGTGTACTTCAGTAATAAAATTTAGCCAGCCATGTGCCAGCACTGTGACGAGTCCGCGTTTAACATGCAGGCTGGCGTGCAGGACATCCAGTCCTTTGAACATTGGAGGGAAGCCTTGAAAAAACGAACTGCGGGTCGCCAAGGGATACACGAAATGATCGTGGAGGACCAGCGTGAGGACATAGAAGTGCTCGAACAGCGTATAGAATTTTTTGACCGGGTAAGGCTACATTTCCTCGATGGGAACTTTTTCAATCAATTTGTTTTCAGTCTAACCGACTAGCTGAAAACGATCTTATACACTGCGTGGACTTCTTTGAGGAAGAAATGCCCATAAACTCAGAGTATTTTCGCCGCGATGAGATGGTCCAAAGCGGCGAAGAGCTATGGGGTCAATGGAAGTTCGAAGAAGCTTGGAGGAACTTCGAAGGCATGAATCGTCCTGTTTCTGAGGAAAGGGACGCGAACAGCGAAGAGGGAAGGTGGGAACCAGTGCGACCTCCTACTCCATGGGAAGCTTTATTGGAATCCGATTGAAAGTGTTCCGTCTCTGTCCAGAACATGTTGCTTTTTTTAACATAGCTGTCAATAAAGATGCGGTAAAACTTCGGTTCAGCCGATGTTTACATTAGATCGATATCTGGTTGGCCTACGCCATTGTGCTATGCGTACACATATGATCCGATTGGAGTGGGTCTGGACAAAGCATATAGTGTGAACTAGGAAGGGTGAGTTACCGTAATCCTAGATGTAATAAGATGTAATGTGTATAGTCGCGATTCAAAATTCGGCGATCTTTGCTGACCAGATTAGTTCCTGACAGCTAGGTGCAAATTAACTAGAGTTGCTAGAGTTAGTTGCTTGTTCCTTCGCGGATATTCATGTGTATCGTTCTTTTTTTTCTCCTCTTTTCTGGCACATTGTATGGTTAACTTTTCCTTTTACGTGGCGTTTTATTTCTTGCTTCACTGTTAACACATGTCTGTGGCATGTAATAAACATCAACATCAACATCAAAACTCAGCCCAAAGAAGCCTGTTTGGTCCTGATCGAAGCGGTCTCTGCGACGGTGTAGTTATCGCGCCCCATTCTCAGTGCAAGTCCGCCGCGCGTGTGGACGTGCTTCGCGTCCGCCGCAACTGGGCTGTTCGTTCTCCGGTTTGAGGTGGCGGTGTCAAGGGATTTTCATTGATATTAATCAAGCTTGTGCTCGTGTGATGGGATTATTCTGAGATGCGGAATGTCGTCCGGTCAACTACAAATCGTTGAGTAGTAAGTTGATTCTTGGTTCTTCGTTATTTGTAACAGGAACAGCTACGTTCGGAAGATTTAGTTAGAGAGTGGACACTTCCCCGCTTCTCTAGTGTTCCATGTAGGCGCATTACCCTGCAATTTTGTAGGTGAGGCTCTTTCCACACGCGATGGTGTTTTAGACAAAGGGACGTCGATGACTGTTTCAAGCGCTGATGCCTAATCCAAGGCTCACGATTTGTTGTAAGCATAACCTCAAATGGACAACGTTTTCAATGTATTAAAGAAAACATGTAGAAGAAAAGGAGGATTGGTAGAAAGATCAAGAAAAGTGAGAGAAAGAATCCGAGTTCCCCAGAGAGTAAGACTGAAATCGGGCTTGTATCTTTTCGTGACCCTCTTTTCGTACATACATTTTTTGGAACATTCTAGTGGCTGGTAATAATACGAACTACTTGCAGTATATTCTCTACCAGCGATCGTTCTGAGCCCTGAGTGAACCCATAGACGTGTGACGTTATGGCCCCGATGATTGCAATTTAAATTCTCCCTAAAAATTAGTTGTATTTCAAGGGAACGCAATTCAAGCAAAGGAGGGGGCCGCCAATAAGATCTACATTATGTTACCCGTTTTCCATTTAATTCCTATTTCACCGGTTCAATAGTGTAATTCAGTTATGATGATGCACAATCACTTGTTGGGTCCGTCATCTTCGGTTGCGAGCACTAGTGGGTTGCAAACGGCTGCTGCTCTCTCAGAAGGTGCAAAAATTCTCAGCTAGTTTGTGAACTTCGTTTTGTTCATGTATACGATCAATCTTATAGGGCTTCAATTCTTGTTTCACTTTCAAGAGCGCCCTTGTTGTTTTTGAGGAATATTTTTCTTTTTCGTTCAGGAGCAATCTTATCTCACGCTTTGAATCAACCAAAAGAAGAGCTCAAAACACATTTTACGACTAGGGAGGGTTCATACAAATTAATGACTATGGCGGAATATTCACGCCCAAATAGGGTGCCAATGAATCAGGTTTGTGAATGGTTTCAACATTTTGACTCTTTTTTTTGATTAAAATTTTTATTTTTATTTAGATGCAGCCTGGCACAGCTAATGTTGCTGGGGCGCCTGTTCGAGTTTCTTTCCTGACATTGAACACGGGGAACAAATCGCCGTCTCCCAGAACGGAGGTTATCACCTGTTGACATTGCGGCGTAACGTTTTGAGGTTTTAGCAATTTGACGGCGTCTTTAAGGAACAAGAGGACTTTGATTGTGATGAGAATTATCGTGAGGACCTTGCAACAGCTGATAGAATTTGTTTCAATGTTGGACGGGAACTGTACGTATATTTGTATAAGTGAGTTCCTACAGTATCTCGCATTGTTACTTGTTTTTTTTTCCATTCGTCTTTTTTACAGAGGAATCCACACTGCTGCTGATTTAAGTAAGCCAATTGATAAACGTGTTTATAAAGGCACTTACCCTACCTGTCATCATTTCAATCAGGAAACTGCTACTAGCACAAATTGCAGGTGAATGATTCTTTTCCGTTGTTGGCAGTTCTTTTCTGTTCCTAGTTCATTTTTTGCTCTCATTTCTTTATTTGTTTTTATTTATTTACTGGCTTACGTATTTATGCATTTCTCTCTTTCGCTCCTTTCTTTCCTTTTTTTGCTTTCTACTCAAGGTTGTGGAAATGAGATTTCAAATAACGTCACCATAACTGTGCAATAAGCTTCCCATGAAGGCTATTCGCTATCGTCGAACTTCACCTTTCTCTTTTTGTTACTTGCAGCGTTATAAATAGAGTTGTCTTCAGCGGTGATTTAATATTTTACCTACGGTCTGCTCCTCGTGCAGGTCCAATACGCTCGAAGTTAAATCTTTTTATCTTATTCAGCCTAATAATTGGATTTTCCGCTGGACAAATCCAGTTGATTGATCCGTTCCACAAAGAGTATCAGGCGAGCCGCCTTTATAATGAAGAGAGGTTTATCGACAAAACTGGTGTCACATGTTTACGATGGTTCCTGGTAAGGTTTTTTGAGGTCTTTTGTTTTTTCGTGGAGCACTTTTTATTTTGCTTTATTTTGCGGATGGGCTTCTATTGGTAGTCGATTTAGGTCAAAGGCAACATTTTCTAGTCTCATACAGCAGTGGTTATATGTATTTATTCAACGAGGAATTGCAGTGCCCGCTTGCGCCTCCAGTTTATCAAACTTTCAAACAGGTGTGTTGAATGATCTGTGTTCTCCATAATTCACATTGGTTCTAACGCAGAGTTCGCAGTATTTCGCTTTTAAGCATCGGAGCTCATAATGTTTTGTGAGTAATGAAGGAGTGCTTTAAGAAGTTAGTGCTCTCTTCAAGCGTTTTTTGCAGTCGTGGAACCCGAAAATGAGGTTCTTTTCATTTGGGTCCTTCAGCATTTAGGTTGGGCACCCAAGGTTTGCTTCTCAAAGCAACATATGCCGAAGTGACCATATTCAGTTAGACAATATCATGGAATGTCCCGTCTGGCAATAGGGCATGGTATCGATTCCTCGGTGGATTTTCTTCCACGTCTGCTGCAGCGTTAAGTACTTACTCCCAACCGTGTTACTCGATCAACGCTTGCCAACAGCTACCTTCGAAGGGTTCGCGTGCAATTCTCAACAACAAAGTGCATTTGCTGAAGACTGCATATAACGTCAGGAGGGCACTCGGTTTTCGCGGCAAATAGATGTGATTCGTGTTCAGGAGATCAAACTATCCTAACGAGCGGCACCTAAAGTTGTTCTGTTCCTAAGCTGTTTCTTCAAGCGGCTATAGGCACACAAACGAAATAGCACACTCAGAAAAGAAGTTGATTCTAGATCCTCTTATTTGTGAATCTGGACCACTATCAACTGCGCTGTAAATTCACAACTCACTCTCACCTCACTGGGCTTGTAAGCCCCATCACTTCATAGCATGCAAGCGAGCGCAAAAAACTCCGTAACATCGCGCAGAGAGTCGCTTCGCAGTTCGAAAAGTGGATCTGGGAAGTACAAGGTGGCAACCAGCAGCAATGATTTGCTTTCGAGTGCTTATGACAACCTGCGACCTTTCCATTTTCAATGGTAAAACCAAACGGTACGCCCAGATTGGGCGCACTGCATTTACGCCACTCAGTGCAATCGAACCTCTTTTGTTCCATAACCGTGCCTCTGCAACATGCGAAAAATCATCTTGAAAAAAGTGCTCCACAATCGTCTTGAAAAATGTGCTCCACACCCTGAGCGCTCCGTTGTCTGAACCCGGTAATCTGGTCTTATATGACTTTTTTTTTGAAGAACGAAAATTTTTGGTGCACTTCATGTGGGCTGTATTACGCCTGCGCTCCTGGAAATCTTCTGAAGTTTTTAGTATGCTGTAAGCTGACAAATTGCCATTTCATTACTTATTTTGCAAACAAAGCTTTATCACCACTACGGTTGTTCATTTTGAGGGCGACAAATATTCGGTGTACACGTGTAAAGCGAAGACGACAAGAAATCCTGTATATCGTTGGCAAATTGGTGAAGGCGGAATCAATCAGTTTGCATTCTCAGGACCGGATGCAAAAATGCTAGCTACTGTGGGACACGTAAGTTATTTGTTTTTGATCCACCAGTACTTCACTTGAAATCGTTTTCTCCACCACGACCCCTTGATTTTGTCAGTTGATCCTGCTGCTTACCGTTGCTCTGTTTTCCTTGTTTGATTCTGGGTTGTGTGGTGTTTCAAAGCAATCCCACCGTTTTCAAAACTTGATGGTGATATTTTTGGGGTGAAGTTCATGAGCAATCTCACAGAACATTGTGTTTTCGTTTACTGGAACGTAAACAAGTCATCGCAGTTGCGCAGTCCTTATTCCTATGTGAGCCTGACTGTGTTCTTATGCTTTCTTGACTTTTTGGGCATGACATCTGCTGATGTACAGTGGGCGCTAAAAATTACGGACGCGCGGCTCACAAATTTCTTTGTTTTTCCAGGGTTTTATTCGCTTATGCTGGTTTTTCGTATGCCGTCGCATTTTTCGACTACTGCGCTGTCATCAGTCACATAAATGAAGCAATTCCCTGGATAATGGTGTCACCCATTTTTCCTGAATCTTTCATTGAATTGCACCACCAACCTAGCACTACTTTCAATGGCGACGGTCGATCCTTTACGTTCGTCGATGTGTCAACAAATTTGTAGGAGCGCCTCCATTCGAATGGTGTACACCTCTCCGATAGATCCCTATATACATGCCGGAGGGTAAAACTGCGACAGGCTACCACTTCCGACCCCCCTCGTTACGATGACTGTTCCCATAGTATTTGATTTTAAGACCAGTCGACCCACTCCAACCCACCGCCTGATTTTTCTCTGAAATTGGCTGTCGACTGGGAGTGAATATGTCTAAAGACAGAGCAAATCCTCGAAATTTTGCCTATTTTATGCTCCAGCTTCTTTCGTAATCTTTCCGTCGAAATCGTCAGCAACGACTCGCCTCGCTCGCAACACGATCCCTCCAACTTCCTTGAAACGATCCCCTTTCAGCCTTTGACCTTCGCCAACTGCCCCAACTCCTTATCGCTCGCTCCATCACCCGTAGCACTTTTTGGGCATGGTTTTACCGTGTTTGGCGCATCTCGTAGACATTCATCCTGTACAGATTTTTTGGAGCTTCTTCATATTTATCATAGTGAATTCCATTATTTTAAAGGATGGCTATTTGCGAATATTCAACTACCATCAAATGGAATTACTATCATATATGAAGTCATATTTTGGTAAGTGTTATTACAAGCCCCCCCCCTCACCAGTTTACACACATTCTTTTTAGAGCGTGTGAAATCATATCACGCTGACTATAGCCGCCTCGCCCGTCTCCTCACCCACCTCACGGCACTGCCCGAGTCCACGACGCCCCGCCGCCCCAAAGTTTGATGAGTGACTGTGTGAGGACGACTTTGCTCGACCTGTCGTACAATGTTCAACCGCAAAAACGCGTAGTTTTGCCGCTGCCCAAGAGACACGCAAAAGCTGGTATCGTCAGGTGTTGTATCATACTATTTATAAAGTTCGAACGACTCCTACCGTTAAATGTGACAATTTACCTTTCTGGACTGGTTTCTAGTTCCAGCCAAAATTTTGCTCCCTCTCACTTCCCTTACCAAGCAGGTGTAAAGGTTGCTATCTTTTTAGCAGAGGCCACGTAGTTTCTGCAATCTCTTTTTCACTCACTCTGATGGCGTTTTTCGCCGACTATGACGTCGGTCTTATAGCTGGTAAACGATGCGTACAAGGTTAGCGGAGGTTTTTTGTCACTCATGGAAGGATGCCCTCTCTGTGATAGTTGCTCTTCTTATTCACATGACCATTTGATAAAAAAAAAGTGAAATGTATGTTTTCCTTGGGACAACTACTTAAAAATATTTTGACGTTCATTACAGAGTAAAAGAGAGAAATTTAACGAAAGAAAGAAACTTAAGCATTAACTTCCTTTTAACATTAATGAAATCCTAATACCCGCATTTGAGTTCTGCGCATTGGATATTGCCGAAATGGTCTTGAGCCATTCGTATTTGTATATTGTCACCCCAAAAATTTTTCGATGTCTGTGCTGCGGCCGCGCTCGCAAAACCCCCTTCAATCTCACGGCAAAAACCCAAAATGCGCGCTGTCGTCAAATTGTTATAAAACGCCCATGAGTAGCATCAGAAAGTACTACAGGTAAAGATCAGAAGAAAATTCTCACCTATTCTTGCGCTGTAGTGTAAAATTTTAGTTCTTATTATATTGTGTTACTGTAGTGGTGGAGGAAAAAGCGTCTCACTATTGTAAACTGCTGAGAGAAAAAAGATAAATTACTCGGAAATATTCCCAAAGCGGTGCCTAGCAGTTCAAAGGCGAAGCCTACGATGAAAGACAGCTCATAATTATAACAGCTTAATAATAATAATAAAGCTCACTATAAATCAAGATATATTGATAACTAAGGTAGGCGTTGGTGATGGATGAAGAGAAGTCGTCCCTGTAAAAACCACAACCTCGCACACGAGAAATGATACTTTGTTTCGAGAAATGGGATACTTTTTCACGTGGGGCGCGTCTTCCGTATTGACCTCATCAACGCTAACGCTCTCTGCTGGGCAGTTGGGGCCAGACGACAGGGGATGGGCGGGCAGCGGCGTTAGTGGTGTGTGGACGGTCATGATAGATCGTAGAAGTATATCTTCGCTGTGAGTTGCGCGTTGGTTCGCACCCTTAGGGGATCCACCTGTAGTTGCGCCAGCTGGGTTTCCCCTTTCTCGACCTCTAACTTTATCATGAGGTACTCCTCTAAGATGAATGAGCATCACTCCGCATAGCAAGAATGGATGAACTTGCTAGTTTGAAGCAGCTCGTTATGTGACATCCTGTTCTTTTCTTTACTACTTATTTGTTTTAGTCTAACGAGCCAGAGCAAATCGAAAAGGCATTCCTTTAAAAAGTAATCAAACAATTTCTTTTCACAAACGTAAGGCGCGCAAATCGCGTGAATCGCGCAAATCGCGCAAATCAGCGAAACCTGCGACGGATCGCGGACTCTGACATCAGCCTAAGGGTTTCCGAGAGAACTGTTCAGTGCTCAATGCGTTCTAAGCATACCGTCATGAATAGTGGCTAGAGCTCCAACGAATATTTGAGGACTCTTATCAAGTACAATATGTAACCAGCATTTCTGGTCGCTGTCGTTCACTAATCAGTCTCCACTTTCACAGGTTCAATTTGATCCTTATATGTGCACAATTGACGGTGAGCATGAGCTGAATGGGATTGGAGCTTTGGACATTGGGTCTGATGACGAAAAGCTTGCGCATACACCTGGTGGAATGATTCAAAACGGACAGGATAGTAGGGCTACTACACCAGTTATAAAAGGTTTGTAAGCGTAAGGTTGCATTTGTAGTTGCTACTCATGTCAATAGCAAATTACAGCTAATGTGCGCAGACCACCCTTACAAACGTCATCATATTCGCGATGCTCTTTCACTTCGTTTGGTACAATCAATGGGACTGGCCGTGTGAGTCGAAATTTCCTCGTTCTTTCCTCTCGTACTTGTTTTATACTTTTCCTTCTTTTCGCAATTCATTGGGATCACAATCGAAATTGTGGATGCTCTGCACTTTCTCCTTCTAATAGTTCTTTTATATTTTTTCCTTACAAACTGCTCTTGTGGCGCAAGCCTCATAATGCTCCACATGTATCTATTGGGACAAGAGGAAATTTTGACCTCTAGCTCGGTTTG